GAAATGCTGCATAGTATATTACCTCCATAACAATGTGCACAATGTACTATACAGCATCCCTGCCGGGATTCTGGAGTGCACTTGAATTACCTTCGTTTCAGCCACTTGCAGTGACTTGATATGCATTCAGGCGCGGCCGTAAACAAAGCCCTTAGGCTTAGCTGCACTTATCCAACGCAAAAGATCAGTATATGCCAGCTAGCAGGGCAACTTCCTTTTGGCCTGTTGCCAAGCCTTACTCGGTCAGCTCCCTTACACCCTGTTGTTAATTTGAAAGCCATATGTTACATACTTAAGGCATGTATTTAAGGTTTAATTAGCAAAGATTCTCTCCTGCTGTGTTCAAGCATGACAAGTTAAGTCACCAGCTCGCACCGTCCCACAGGCACAGCATTGTTGATGTAACTAGCTAAAACATGTGGGAGGTGCATTAGTCTCAACCGCAGGCGCGGTGGCGGCCATACTCCACCCCCTGTCTTTGCACTGGTGCCGATATGCATGTGACCGACTACCAAACCAGTTGGCACAGTTGGTGCAGTGAAAAGGCTGGGAGGAGTCCGGAGCTACATCCGGTCTGTAAATGATCTTTCGTGGTTTGGATGCCACCTCCAGCGCATTCAATGACATGGCAAACTGGCTAATGTGACCAGTAAGATTGATCACAATGTGTAGGAAAACCAGAACATTCACGTTTGTATCAATCGTCGAGCTTCTAATACTTCTACACAAGCAAGCATTTGGTCCCGCCATGACAAAAGAGCATCCTATTCTATGGCAGGTTCTGGTAAGGATTTAAATGATGCAATCAACAAAGTTCGGTAGCCACGAAACAACTTCCCAATATTGAATTTGCAACCATGTGAACTTTATACCATGCTGTACACTTCCGGACCAGGGTCCGGAATTGTACGGCTTTTCCCCTCTTGCTGCTCAGAAGTCATGTGAACGTGGACAATTTGCAACACCAATAAGAAACGTCACTGCGTTTAGCACTATGTGATTGCTGTGCAAATTGCACCATCTGGTACCTCCCAGCCCCACCTTCGTCGCTGCCGCTGCTACTCCGTTGCTAATTCCCCCCGCCGCCGTGCCTGCTGTTGAGACTAATAGCCCTCCCAGCCCCACCTTCATCGCTGCAGCTGCTACTCCGTTGCTATCTCCCGCCGCCGCCGCGCCTCCTGTTCAGATTATCTCCCAGCCCCACCACCGTCGCTGCCGTTGCTACTCCGTTGCTAATTCCCGCCACCGCCGTGCCTGCCATTTAGGCTACTGCACCTCCCAGCCCCAACGCAATCGCTGCCGCTGCTACTCCGTTGCTAATTCCCCCAGCCGCCGCGCCTGCTGCTCTTGCTAATTCCCCCCCCACCACGCCTGCCGTTTAGGCTACTGCACCTTCCAACCCCACCTTCATCGCTGCCACTGCTGCTGCGTTGCTAATTCCCACCGCCGCCGCGCCTGCCGTTTAGGCTACTGCACCTCCAACCCCACCGCCGTCGCTGCCACTGCTGCTGCGTTGCTAATTCCCGCCGCCGCCACGCCTGCCGTTTAGGCTACTGCACCTCCCAACCCCACTGCCGTCGCTGCCACTGCTGCTGCGTTGCTATTTCCCGCCGCTGCCGCGCCTGCTGGACTTGCATTTCTGGACTGGCGAGAATTTTGAAAATTTTGTTTCACGAAATGGCATCCCTGGATCACACTTGCGATTTATTGTATGTGCTGCTACTACTACTACTACTACTACTACTACTACTACTACTACTACTACTTTTATGTATATAGTAGTACTGGTACTACCCTTTAGTATAATTGTTGTAGTGTAGTGCAGTGCTACTGGCCCGTGAAGTATGTCTCAGGCCGGCACTGCCCCGACCACGGTATAAGACCGCGCTCCGAACGTGAGTAGAATATGAATTCTAAAAGAACCCACGTCCGTTCTGTGAGCAAAGACGATTTCAGTAGATTTATGGATTTCGGTAAGGCTGTCGTACAGATTCATGATGTTCAGTTCCAGTGAATTCTTACAAACGATTCTTGACAGCCAGGTCAGTTTTCAGAAGATTTCATGTTCATAATTGATTCGCATATTTCTTGATAAGCTCATCATTACTGTGTAGCTATCGCGCTACAACAGCTGCCTACTCCCCCCAGGAACCAGCGTCCTCGCTGTGTTCCGGGTGAGCTTTCCAGTACTCAGTAATCAGATTTCGATCGGAAATATCGGTAGAATCAAGCCACGTATTGTTCTCATCAGTATGTCCTTTCCATTTGACCAGAAATCGGTATAAGGTTCGTTTTCTCAGTTTACGGGTTTCATGCTTCAGAATTCGTTCAATCGTCCAGACAGGCTTGGAAGTGACAGGGTCAAATTCCAAAGCTTTCGGAGGCTGAACAGGTCCATCAGGGACGTCAGCACAGTAGGGTCGGAGTAAGGACACATGAAACACATCGTGGAATCGGTATTCAGGAGGCAATTCCAAACGGAAAGTAACGGAATTAATCATTTCAGTAATCGGAAAAGGTCCAATCCAACGGGGCATCAGTTTTCGTGTGCCTTTCTGTATAGACAGATTTTTCGTACTCAGTAATACCTGTTGTCCAACATGGAGGGTTACGGTACGTCGTTTCTTACTCTCCTGTTGTACAGCTCGGTCTTGCGCAGACTGATAGAATCGTTTCGCAAGTTTCAGTCGTTCGTGAAACGTATCCACGTACACCTTAGCAGCGGGAACGGTATCAGCAAGTTCCAACTGTAGAGGCGTTCGCGGGTGGAAACCGTAATTCAGAAAGAAAGGTGACTGACCCGTGGTTCGGTTTCGCAGATTGTTAATCGCGAATTCAGCGGCATCGAGATAACGATCCCATTGTTCAGTGTCAGTGGAAACGTATTGTCTTAACATGTCTCCAAGGATTCGGTTGATTCGTTCGGTTTGTCCATCGGTTTCAGGGTGAAAAGCGGTACTCGTGTTTTGTTTTGCACCAGCTCGATTGAGCAAAGCCGGTAGAAACAGATTCTTAAATCTCGGGTCACGGTCGGAAATAATCTTTTGTGGCATTCCATGAAGTCTCACGACGTGATGAAACATCATGTCAGCACATTGTTCGGCGTTAGCGGTAGTACGGCAAGGAGCAAGATGTACCATTTTCGTAAGGCGATCCACAAACACCAGAATAGCATCGTGCTGGCGTTTGGTTTTCGGAAGTCCCACAATAAAGTCCATGGAAATACTTTCCCAAGGCATATCAGGGATCGGTAGTGGATGTAATTCACCTGCCGGTAAACCAGAAGCCGGTTG